AAACTTTAAAATGTTAATAATAATTGGATTAATATTATTATTAATAGTTTTAATTATTTCTACGTCGTCAGTCCTTTTATTCTGCTCTGTTGACAACATGTACAGTAATGGGGAAATCCTGAGTCTTGCCCGTTTAGCGTTAGCCGTWAGCTTCACCAGTCGATCACATGGTCACAGGGTTTTTGCGCACTCCAATTCTATAGAACCTCCTTGGTTAGAACCCAGAGTATCAAACTTTCTGATACATTATTGAATTAAAGGTCTAACATTGTTTGGAAGGAAGCATATTGCTTAACTCAAATCATCTTATTGTATACAGTGTTATGCACAATCTYATGCATTATTTGTGAGATCAGGCATCATTAGAGCTCAAAGACTACCATGGGGATCACTTTCAGCTACTACTGCACAAACTTTACCTGAATATCTATAAACTTAGAGGCTTATTTCTGTTAGCAAGCTGTGGTGGCCATCTTAAACTGTGTTAACCTCACTTGTTTATGAATTGTAGAACATCATACGTTGTGAGAGTTTCATTAAAGTATGTCAAGTCATGAGATATTTTGCTAACAAACAAACTGATTCCACTAGTTAATGACAAAAATTTAAAAACTAATCTTGTTGTATTTATTGGCTCTGAGTATTGAGGATCAGACACAGTTTAGCACAATCCTCTCAGTAAATCAGCTCTTTACTAATAAAGGTGTAAATAAATACACTTAAATAAAAAAGGTTTTCCAGGTTATTAAAATCTAACACGACCAGGTTTTGTAGATCTAAAACAACCAACAGTTTAAACTGTGTGCGTTTCAGGAACTATTTTCAGCTGCAGATGAATACTCATTTYTTTTTGCGGGAGAGTAGGTAGGCAGTGGGTGGAGGACTGACTCAAACAAACCAAACCACTGACCATTTTCATGTTTTGGAAAAGAAACATTTAATTTTAGACTACAYGAGCAAAAATAAATAAATAAACACAAAAAATAATTTGATAGAACATTCTTTATTTTTATTCTTTACCCAATCAGTTAAAAATAAGAAAAATGCTCATTTATTGCTTGGCACCTAAATGTTTCAGCGTTATCAGCTCTGTATTTAATAATGACCCCTGCTRATTTGGGTCACATTTCTCGGTTTTAGGTTTAGTTTTCTTGATTACYTTTGCTCTGTTTAGAATTTTTACTTCCTGTTTTATTTTGTAGCYCCAMCTTCTTGTCACYTTTGTTTTCCTAGCCCTTTACCACCCGTGATTTTGTAATTAGCACACCTGTTCCTGGTGTTTGGTTATTTCATGGAGTATGAATGCTGGGTTTCCTTGGTTCACTGTTGCTTCATTCTATTGGAACAGATTAGTATGTTTCCTTGTGTTCTCTGTGTTCCGGTTTGGTTTTCATGTGTTGGGCTTTGCGTCTCTTTGCTTTTCACCTACTCCTGCCGGCTACTGGATTATTGTCCACATCTGGTTTTTCAAGACTCTGCCTGCCCTTGCATGCTTTGTGACAAACAGTTTTTTTTTCTTGTTCACCATAAACCATTTTTCTATTTCAGGAAAATATTTCTATAAAATAATAAGAGAGCAGCTGGGAACTTGTCACTCAGCTGTGCAGGATTATTCAAGTGAAAGTGCTCCAGTTTTGAAATGAATCCTGCTGGGCTGACATCTCATGTCACTCTGCTCTAATGATGGAGAAGGGTTCATTTTCTTTCTGTCTTTTTTCTACGACAGATTTTTATTTTCCTGTCTTTCAAGATTTACAGAGTTCGGGAAGAAGTTTGTCACATTTTTTCTCTTCAAATACTTTAAATGCTATTCACAAATGTTTTATGTTAAATGCTAAAAACAAAAACTAAAAAAAAACTTACTTGGACGTTTTATTTAACTAGAATAAAAACATTAAATCAGTACAGAAAACAAATAATTAGGTATTTTTTATTAAAAGTTTGATTATTATAGATGTTTAATATTTGTGATAAAATCTAAATTACCATTATTCTGACAGAAATGTTCATGCAGTAAAAAAATAACTTACATCCATTCCTCGCGTGTCAAATTCATGAAGAGGTTCACCTGGTCYTTCTGCAGCAGGCGAAATGCTGCACTTACATGGTGACTTTCTTGAACGGATCGGTCATTATATATCATTGCAAAGTCAGACCTGGAAGGCAGAACAAATGGAAGAAATAATTGGTGCAACAGTGTTGAACAGGTCCCTCCATGAAATACAGCCAAGTAGTCAAAACGTTGTTCAAGGTGGTGGCAATCAGAAAAAAATACAAATGAGGACCTCAGGAAATAATCTAAAACCATAACTCCAAATYTGCTATGTTCAGTGTTTTTGGTTACATTTTTTCATAGGTGTAACAGGATAAATCACATAAATCCAACTRCATTCTTTTTTTCTACAATGAAAGGACTGAAGGTTGTGAGGATGAGAGCTGACAGAAAACAAGTCATTTTGMGGGGAGGAGGTCAGAGGTGGAAAGGYTAAAGCAAAACTCATGRCAATGAGCTGTGCTAAATATTTCACAAGTTTAGCTATAATACAAAAGGAAGCAACATTTGCTGTTTTCTAAAACAATTTTTACAAAAGTCCCAATCTGTTTGAGTTACATTAACCTCAAACAATCATTTCATAAAAAACAAATAATGTTAGAAAGATAACATTTCTAATCAAAACCGTTTAAAATAACATTAATCTTTTTGACTGCAGTAATAACTAAACGCTCAGAGGTCTGTCTGTGAATGACTCACTTTAGTGAGGTAATTAACTTTTGCCATTTGGTTTTATTTAATTTGTAAAACACTGTTTCATTAGGCTGTTAAAATTAGCATTTATTCTTCAACCCTTACAGTTAAGGCCATCATCGTGTGYAACACTTCAAATAATGAACCATTTGGAAATGTCACATTAAACTTGCAAACTCTTTAAAAGAAATAATGAAATAATAAGAAAAAACAACTTTAATTAAACTGCAGTTGGTGCTATTCTAACCAAACAACACCATCTCTGAGTCCACTGTGTTTTAGCTGGATTATAATTTTAAGACTGATGCTTATTATTTTCATTTTCATGTTCTGTCTGCTGATATTTTGGGGCTTTTTTACCCAAAATAAAGACTCATTATGATCATGATCATGATAAATGTCAGGAGATATGTTGGAGAATCTAAAAATGTTGTTTTTTTTCCGTCTATGAGGATTTGTTTGCTTCAGAGTTTTCCTGTGTTTTCCCCAAAATTTCCAAAAATCTTAGAAAAAAAATCTACTTTATYCAAAATCCTTCAACAGGATGTGATGTTTTTAACCTTGCTTATATATACACACACCACGACAAAGTTAATAAAATARGACGTTTATGAAACAAGGCTTACTTTGTGTGGATGTGGAAGTTGTTTGTTGTTCCTGTGTGTTCGTAGTCATGAATAGCTGCAGCAAAGAGCGCCGCCATCACCTCCAGCTCCGTCAGCCAGTGCTTCAAAAGAGACAAAACAGAAGTAAAATATACAGATGTAGGTGCAGCATGATGCATATTTTTTAAGCTTTCATGTTTTAAATTATGTTGCCAATCTACAGTGGTGGGCACAGTTCCCCTAAAGCACTAATAGGGGAACTAATTTCTTGATTAGTGCTTTAGGGCTTTTGCTATTTTTTTTAATTCATTAGTGAATTAGCACTTGCTAAATTCATGGGCTCAATTTGTAAAGCACTAACTGAGGTATTTAAATGTTATTGATCAACATTATTGTTCACAGTTAAGGGTGAAAGCTGTCATACATTTTGTTCATGTGCGTGTATC